AAGAGAGCTTATTGTAAGAAGATACCATCTGAACAAAGACCTGAGGGAGTGACGGAAGCAAGCCATCTGGGTACATGGGTAAAGGCATCTCTTAGTTAAGGGGAACAGCCAACGATTGCAACGTGGTATAGGAACAAAACCAAGCTTCATTCAGAGGGGAAATTAATATTCTCTATAGAATCAATTAGGCCATGCACATAGCTTTAATTTTAATACACTTTTGCCTCCTTAACCCAGGTTGCTGGCCCTGATAAAGAGATTATCACCCCCCAAAATTGATTTATATTTCTCTTCAGCTGTAACCTGGCAAAGATTTCAACTTATTTCACACCGGCAAGAGGGGAAAAAAGGAAGAGCAAAATAACCATAATATATGTCTTCTTTATAGGAACCAATTTAATCGCTAGTTATGCTGCTTTATATTATTTTTTGCTATTTTGAGAATTCAATTTCCCCCAAACTTTACTCTCTTTAGCAACTTGCTATCTTTCCTTCCCATCTCCTCAATCTCTCTCTCACATGCAAACAATGCCTGCATTTTATTTACCCTGGTACCTGGAGAATTAAATCACTTAAAAAAAAACAAGTCCCAAGCAAGCAAAGGGCAAGGTAAGAAAGGCAATTCAAGTGATCTTTCATGTACTTAATATTTAAGCAACAGTAACAGAATGAAGAAAATTATACAGATAAATGTTAACAGAAATCAGTCAGAAAAACGAACCGTTCCACAGGCAGAGTGAGTTTCTGGCGATGTGCGGAGGACCACACTTAGAAGAGACGTACTCTGATATCTCTGTTTTTTCCTCCAAGGGAACTGCGCGCACTTTCATAAAGGAGGCTGGTGGTACAACGCCTGCGCGCACTCTAACCTGAATGGGGTGTGGTACCGAGGAGGCCACTACAGAAGCAAGTACCAAGACGGAATCTTTTGGGCCGAATACCGTGGGGGGTCCTACTCCTTGCGAGCAGTTCAGATCATGATCAAGCCTATCGACTGAGGGAGACAGCCTACACCTCAACAGAGCTCTGCCTTTGTCAGTCTCTGAAAACGCAAATGTTACACGTATATCATTCTGCACAATTCATTTTTACAGATATAGTTTTTAAAATGAATTTTACCACATAACTATAAAAGGGGATTTATGAACCTAGCTTCATTTTCCCTCAATATACTACAGAAGATTATTAGTTTCCATAATCTTAGTTACTTTAAAAATTACATTGACTAAATATGGGGAACATTTGTTTTCTAAAATGTAAATATTTGTCACAATGTAAAACAAACCTCAGCTTTATTTTAAATCAAAATTGAATACATATTTGACATCCTTAGTAATTTACTTAAAAACTTTATGAGATTGCTCTTACTGCCAATGAAAAAATATTTTTAAGATTTCAATCTAGTACATTTTATTTATAAAAAAAATAGACAGGAAATTAGAGAAAACTCTAGTTTTGCCAACAGAAAATACATTTTGCATTAAATAAAAGTTATTTCAAGTTGAATCTGTGCCTTTCACATGAAACAATTAAATCTAAATTCTTTTTTTTTTTTTAAATCTTCACCAAGGATATTTTTTCCATTGCTTTTCAGAAAGAGTGAAGGGGGGAGAGAGAGAGAGAGAGAAAGAAAGAGAGAGAGAGAGACGCATCGATGTGAGAGAGACACATCGGTTGGTTATCTCCCATATGTACCCCGACCGGGGCTGGGGATTGAGCCTGCGACCGAGGTACGTGCCCTTGGCCAGAACTGAACCCCGGACCCTTCAGTCCGCAGGCCCAAGCTCTAGCCATTGAGCCAAGCCAGCTAGGGCTACATCTAAATTCTTAAAAATATATTTTATGCCAATTTCTCAAAAGAATTAAGTGACCCACAGTATTAAAATACATTTTAAAAACAAAAAATAAATGTAGACAATATCTAAATGGCCAATTTATAAAAAGAGAAATGTACAAATAAATTTTTCAGTATTATCTTCATATGATTTGCTGAACAAAATCTCCTGAAATGTATTTTATGTTGTTATATCAGCAAAATATTAATATTATAAAAATGCAGAATATTTAGTGAACCAATGGTCTAACGGATCTGAATTATAATGCTAAGCTTATTTATAAATACTTTCCCTCCCTAACATACTGATCCTTACTATTTGGAAAATTCCTGTCTGCTATTCAAGTCGGAAAGCTTGGACAGCTTTGCAACATTACTGCACACCTACAGGTGGGACTTAAACAACTGCAAGGAACTTTTAGGTGTTTCCCCAGTACTGAGATTCTGAGATTCAACAGCTTCAGAGCAGAAACCATAGGGGTTTGGCTGGTCCAAATCACTAATTCCATTTTTAGTGTGTATGTCTTTAACTCATCTTTGCAACTAACAGCATTACCACCAAACTTCTGAAACAATTTCCTTCCAGAAACATGTTCATTGCTTATAGCTGATCTTCTGTTAATTCGTGAACTAAAAATTTAGAGAAACCTCATGAGACTTTTGCTCAAACAAAAAGAAAATCCAATAAGAACTGAAGACCACCATTTATTTGAATAACTCAGGCCCACCATCATGACCAATGTTCCTCCTCTGGCACATCTCAAAATAAAACTTCTGGCGAGAGAAGGTAAGAGAACAGCAAACCCTCACTGTGGTATTCTTTGTCTTACCCCTGGTCCTCTTAAATAGTTTTCAAGGCCCTCCCCACCACCCAAAATATCTGCTGTAAGATTTCTGGGAGAAATTAGGCATCCAATTGTTATATCAAATCTCAGTTAAATAATACCTTACTAGGGCATTTCATTTATTGACACAACTGTAGCATATCACTTGAACATCCAAAATGCGAGCAAAGAGAAGTCTTCAGAATTTTCACAGAAGAGGAATATTCGTGAAACTAGTACGATGTGAAAGTCAACATACAAACTAGAAAACTGGGCTGAGAGCTAAACTGCTGTGGCCACTGGGCCCATTCTACTCTCCTTCGCAGAGCTGATGTGGCTCTGCTCAGAAGGTCTGGCGAACGTTACGACATGCAGGGGATGATTGAGGGTAGGTTCTCAAGCCGAACTGCTGGGGTCTGTGGCCCAACTCCACCATCTACCAGCTGGGCAACTCTGGGCAATTTATATATCTTGCCTCAGTTTTCTTATCTATAAAATGGGGATAACAACAGTACCTAGCTCATGTGAATAGTTTGAAAATCAAATGAGTAATAATACATGTGGTAAAACATTTAGAATAATGCCTGACGCAAGTAAGGACTCAGGAGACTGTAGTACAGGAGACTCACCTCTGTACTCTCTGTAATACCTATCATGGTGCCGTGCAGAGTAAGTGATCAATAAATGTGTTAAAAGAAACAATATCCAAGTTTTCAGGTAAAAAATTACACTGACCCATGATCTTCATTACAACCTAATAGAGCCATGTCAGCTATTATAGCAGATATGAAAGAGACTAGACCGTAAGAAAATAAAAAGACAAATTAAGGCAAGAGTAGCCATAGTAGAAATTTCAGCCTAATGAGGATTTTTTAAAAAATATGTTTTTATTGATTTCAGAGAAAGGAAGAGGGAGAGAGAGAAACATCAATGAGAGGGAAACAGCGATCCGCTGCCTCCTGCAAGCCCCCTACTGGGGATCCAGCCCGCAACCCAGGCATGTGCCTTGACCTGGAATCAAACTGGCGACCTCCTGGTGCATGGGATGACACTCAACTAACTAAGCCATGCTGGCTGGGCTCTTTTATTTTTTTAATTCTCATCCAAGGATATGTTTTCCATTGATTCTAGAGAGAGAAGAAGGGAGAGGAAGGGGGAGAGAGAGAGGGAGGGAGGAAGGAGGGAGGGAGAGAGAGACAACATCGATTGGTTGCCTCCTACAAGCACCCTGACCAGGGATCGAACCAGCAACCCGGTAAGTATGGTGACCAGGAATCGAAGCCTCGACCCTTCAGTGCATGGGATAACGCTCTAACCAACTGAGCCATACTGGCCAGGGCCGAATGAGGATCTTATGAGAGAGCAGACAGGTCCCTTGTGTGGCAGGAAAGGCCTAATAGCTATCTACTTTGCAGGATACTTAGGAATAAAAATGTGGTTGCCTTGCCTTCTTCAATAAAACTGAGCTATAACTTTGGAGCTGGCTACAGAAAGACTCCTTATGTCAGTTATTCTTAATAAATGAAGTGAAGCTTATCGTAAAAAGGATTCAGACTCTGCCGTTCTCAATGGGAGGCCGTTAATGCCTAGGAAATTTGGCATCTCTGAAGTCAACTTTTAAAACTTGAGATTTTGGATATGCCAATATTAGACACCACCTTGAAATTTAGTAGGTATCTACAAATAAACATATCCTTAGCTTCAAGCCTGGTAAGAGCATAAAGACCAAGTTTTCAATCTGATGTTCACTTGACTCTATGCGTCATGATGTGAGAATGCTAATTCTTCTAGCATTACTCTTCTTAGGACTCCTACTGGTAGTAATATAAAAAGCCTGTAAAAACTTCTGTAGTCATGAGAATGTTTTAAATTACTTGTATGTCTGTACTAATGTAATACTATTTTTATATACTTAAGAGTAAGTTAAAGATTATTGCACCTTAACAATTAACAACTTTTCAGTCTTTTATTTTAGGGTCTGTGAAAGACACTGAAGAAAGAAAGGAATGATTCCACTTACAATGCCATAATCCCATCCCTACCTCCAAAAAAGCCATTTAAAAATAAGCTCAGTTTTCAACTTTACCAGTGGGGTTAAAAGTTATTAAGTTATAATTCTATAGATAATCAGAAGAAGGACTAAAGAATGAACTCAAAATTTCAATCTACAGACTCCTAAACTATTGATATAATTCCATACTGTTTTTCTTGACCTATAAGTCTTTATAAGTCAACTTAATCTCCCTTGTCTCAGTTTCTTCACTTGTAAAATATGAGTATCACTTACCTTCCAAATGGTTAAGAATTAACTTATGTAAAGTACACAGCATTGGGCATATAGTATTAAGTGCTGAATAAATGTTAATTATTAAGATTTTTATTATTCTTCTCCTGTTAAGGTTTCCTTAAAAGATTACAAATTACTGAAACATCAACAGTTGGAAGCAACGCTGGCAAAGCTGTTGGAACTGGGGGATCACATTCTCTTTGCGGCTGAAATGCAGCTCTGCAGAGCTGTTTTGCTGCTTTTTAAGAGAAAGGTTCTTCAAGAAAAACTATGAGCATGGGAAAGGAATTAACGCAACCCCATCCCCAGCCCTTTTATATCACAAGTCAATGAGTGATCTAAAATAAACTTCAGAAGCTACGTACACCATTAAAGAATGTGAGAAGAATTTTAAACACAGAAAAAAGAATGAGGGTGAAAGAGGGTATAAACGAGGTCATGGAAAACGGGGGTAATGCTGGCCGAAGACAAGGCCAGGCTGGCTGCCACCTGGTCAGAGCTCACTCTCAGGACTCAGAAGAAAACGCCTGAACACACTTCACTGCTGTTTCAGAATACAGTACAAAGCACGTAATCTACTGAGATGAGTAAGGTAAAGTAATCCGTGGTGTGCATTACCTACAAACCAAACCAAAGAAAGGAAAATGGAATAACACGCTTTAAATATTAAGAGCCAATGATATTTTTTAACCATTAGGTATTTTTCAGATCAGTTCAGAGCCTTTTATACATTTAACCAAGTACAACTCTACCAAACGGGATGGAAAAAAGATCTCAATACCCATAGAGCTGCAGAAAGCTTTGGACTTTGTTAAAATTATCTGAATAAAAAAATGGAAAGAAAAAGAAAAAGCACTATTATTTTTGAAAATATCTGTGCATAGGTTAATAGAAGTTTCTAAAACTAATGTAAAACTAAACCACCATATTTTACTGAGAGATCAAGATGGGTAGAAACTAGTGAAAAATAAAAGTATCAGATAAATCCTGAAGATCCTTGTAAGTCTGGGCATGCCTTAAACATCTCATTAGCCGTGTCGAGGCCACTTCTAACAAGGCCTGGCAGGGACAGGTACGTTCCTCTTCCATGACACAGGAGATAGGAAAGGAGAGTCACAAGGCAGTAAGAGCAACCTGAGCCATGAGTATTCAGGAGCTGTGATGTTCCACACATGCAGGGACAAAGCCCACTTCATTCCCTGCTATGCATCTAGCACCAAGCATGCCCCCAAGCAAATACTGGTTAGCTGGCCGATGCACCAAAAGAAAACTGGGGGTGGATAGGAGTTAATGTACATAAAAATGCCACACAAATTTATTGCATTTAAAACCAATAAAGTTACTGGACCAATGGGAAGGGCCGGAAAAGTGTATTTAATAATTTAATTAAGAGTATCATTTAATGTTACTAAGTGCCTGTTTTTGTTCCAGATGCTAAGGACCAAGCCTTGAGCCAGAACAAAGAGCTTACACTCTGCTGATGGGGGACAGATCCATGTACATCATGATGAAAATAAAATAGCGCCTTTCAGAGAACAAGGGATGAAGAGGGCACTGTGTCCCAGAGGGTTATTCTAAAAACAGCTTTTCTCTTCTCAAAAGAAAGGTCTAGTATGAAAATCTCACATATTAAATAAAAAATTAAGAGAGTGTGTAGGAGGGGGAGCTCTCCCTACAAGAGCGAGGAGTTGTACCTAGATACACCAAAATGAGGGATCTGTGCTCTACAGAAGGGCAGAAGCTTGCAAAAACTCTGCTTCTACTTGGTAGAAAGCAATATAGAAACTGCAACAATTTACTTACCATCAGAGTTTTAGAAATACAGGGTGGGGCAAAAGTAGGTTTATAGTTGTGAGTATACAAAACACAGAGTTTATTCTTATATTATTACTTATTAATTACTGCATTATTTTCCATACAAACTGTAAACCTACCTTTGCCCCACCCTGTATGCTTTCTTTCCCAGAAAACATAAGCTTGTTGAGCTACTGCATCTTCCCAAAATTACGTAAAGAAAGTGGAAATGAGGCTGGAAAACACACACACAAGAGTATCATGTTTCATACAACTAAATTATCTTTACACAATGTTCTGCTTTTCTTTCTCTCCAGCAAAGCAAAACTTCCCATGCCAAATTCTTCCATAAGCCCCTTAAGATTGCTCTCCAATGACAAGAACAAATGAGTGCTGTTAATGATTTTCAGATTTGAGGCAATAATTCTCATATAAAATAATTTTTTCCTTGAGATGTGCCAAAGTATTCCTCTCCAGAAAAACTGTATCTTTGTTCTAAGAATTATTTACTATATTGTCTGTCCAGGCTTATTTTTACCTTGAGAGAACCAACAGAAGAGACAACTTTTCAAGAGATGATGAACTGAAAGCCAAGAAAACATTTTCTACTTTGCAGAATTTAATCCACATTGAATTACAGATAAATCTGGCAGTATCAAAGTAAAGAGTTTTGTCAGTATGTAAACCTCCACCTCCTTTTTTAAATTTCACAAAGAATGGTTGGTTTTCATCATAATTTTTAGGAGCAAAACACCATTAGCTTGGATCACTTCTGTCACGTTAAGAAACATGCGATGAGCCTTTACCTCCACCTCCTCTCTAGGCACTACAGATCCCTCTGGCTGATCTATTCTTCATAAGAACCTTTGCAGGCGCAAGGGACAAAGGGTAGCATTATGCACATTATGATGCTTGAAGAGGGACAGTTAAATAGAAACCACCAATTTGTGTAATGAATGTTATCTTTCAAACGTCTGCAGGGCAAAATGCCCTATCAAACTGTACAGCATCTTGTAAATGTTGACATTTTTGGCAACTGTAAAAGGCCTAGTTTCTTATAAGGGGTAAAGGATTCTAAAATCAAGACAAGTTAAATTTAAAAATCGTGATCCTAATTCATTTTAAATTAGAACAAAATATGAACAAAGTACTTATTACCAGGATATAAACTATTGTTAAAGCGTCATTCTTCATAACACTTTAGTACTGAAGGTCAGGAATGAAAAAAGAATCAGCTGTCTGATGTAAAGAAATCAAAGTCACAGTTGTGTAAGTTGAAAATGCTTCTCATTTTCTTAAGAAAAGCATGTGTATTTTGATAGATGGAATACATTTAATTTCAAGTTTTGCTATAAAATAAAACAAAACCGTCACTATATTAAAAAGATGACTTTAATGCTGGAAACAAGCTGAACTGAGTCTCAATAATTTACCTGACAAATGTTTCATTTTTCTTTCACAAGCCTACCAAATATTATGCCAAATGTTGCCCAATCACATCACAGTCTCAGTTGCTTCACAAACTAGTAGAGGGATGAATAATGATATGAAGACTCTAAGTACATAAAATTATGTAGATACTAAAATGTATATTCTCTAATTTACGTTCTTTGCCATTTTCCCCCTTTTGGTTTCTGATTTTGGATAACCCTCAGAAAGATGCATCTCATTTCAACAGCAAAAACGAGAAGTAGGGGAGGAGAAATCCAGTAACCCCCCAGGTCTCCAGTGTGGTGGAGCAGTGTAGGCAATGCTACACTGCGATCACTGGTACACTAAGCTAGGAGGTAAGATGGGGATCAGGTGAGGAGGAAGGGGAACGATGATGAATTCACTTCTGAACATGCTGAATTAGTTACCTAGAGATATCTCACGCAATCAGTATCTGAGTACCCAAGATGTTACCAGGCCCCAGGAATTACACAGACAGCTGGACGTATAGGTCTAGTCTAGATCTGGGAGTAACTGGGTGATATGTGGAAAAAGTCTGAATGAGACCACTCCAAATGAGTTTAAAGAGTAAGAAAAAACATGGGCTGGGGTACCTCTAGAAGAACAGACTTAAGACAAAGGCAGAGAAAGAGCAGCCAATAAAACAAAAGCCAGAATATAGAAGGTAAACCAAGTGGAGAATTTCCAGAAGCAGAAATAACTAGTATCGACCTCACAAATTTAGGATGAGGCTTGAGAAATACTTATTAAATGTTTTAACTTGGAAGTCAGTGGTGACCGTATTGGGGAAATTTCTACAAGTGAAGAGGGAGACAACAGCATGCGGAGCAAAAGAAAGCAGCAAGGAAAGGGAGGACCAGGGTCCCTGTTACTACCATAGGGGGGAAGTGAAGGCGAGTTACACGGGAAGATTACAAGTGAAAGGGAAGATTCTGAGCCACGGGAATATACAAGACTAAAGAAAACTGAAGAGAAGGAGCCAATGGAGACCAAACTGAAGATGTAGGAAAGATAATGGTTTTAATGTTTTCTCCAAATTAACTTCTGCACCTCAATACCTGCCTCATTTGCTTTAACCCACAGAAATCATTATGGTGTTTGTTTCAGGGGCCAGGGCTGGGAGAAAGCAGGTATATTAATAGAAAACCTTTCCAGATTCCAACTAACCTCCAACTATGCCTCTCTCTCTGTATGCACATGAGTGCACGTATGTGTGCACATGCAGACACCTGAAGTCTCCATTGTGGAAAATATAAAACAAAGACCCGTCCTGAAGTCTCCATTGTGGAAAATATAAAACAAAGACCCCTGAGCTACACATCAGGATTTATATTATTTTGCCATTATCTCTTTTTCAATAGAAAATAACCCTTTTCTAAAAGATATGAATTATGGAATCTAAGAAAAACATTTCAATGAGAAAACAACAATCACAGAGCTAGCAGATTTTAGAATGGGGGCTTAGCAGGTATAATTGGAAAGATGCTAGATATCAAGACTTCAGATAGAGGGTCTGTCAGTAATTAAATTTTAGGACTATGAGCCGGGTCTTCTGCCTTCTGGACCTTGGTTTTCTCAAATATAAAATTAGTGGATTAGAAGAGATCACTGTGGTCCCATCCAGCCTTAAAAAGAATATGATTCTGGTCCTGTGTGTATTTCTAGGGAAGGAGAACAGGGCTCATAGAAGGCAATACAACGACTTAAGAAGTTAGTATGGTGGTGCCATTTTGGAATTGAGGGTTGCCAATTTTCACTTTAATATTCTTATGCTATAAAAAGTTTATGTTCTTATAAAGTTTGAAGATACTGATTTTTAAAAATGCTCTATTCCTCTTCTCCCTCAAATAACATTTTCAAGACTGCACAGACAAGGCTATAGTAAAAAGTGGACACATGCAGAACGCCTCTCCTAATATCCAGCTTAGAGCCTCTCTGGTGCAGTCATGCTCACTATGGCCCTGAGCTGCTTATCACAGGAACAGAACACAATATTCTGGTCTATAGTGGCCATTATCTATAGTGTTTAGGGGCATTCTGCCTTCTGCACAGGGTGCACAACATTCCCGATTCCCACTGGAATCGTAGGAGGTCCCACAATGTTCTAATGAGCTCAATTCTTATCTGACAAACTAAGGCTGATGCTCCATAGCGACTGAATGAGTCCAGACTGCTTTGGGCTCTACGTTGTTTTCTAAGTCACTGGTACTGTAAAGATATTAAAAATAACACTGTGGCATCTCCTGAACAAATAACAGGCTTTTCAATTACTTTCAAAAATAGCTATCAGAAAATCCAGTATGAGTAGTTACATAAAACGTAAGAGTGGAGACGGGAGAAAAAGGGGTATTAGAAATAAATAAATGTGTATCATTTGATTACTCTGTATACAGGATCAAACCAACTTATTTTAATTTATGCTAGACATATATCCTATATTACATTTTCTGTATGTAAATTTACACACACACATTTTTTAAAGGACAGTTTGAGGCTTCTTTTTATTCAAATACCTAACAAAACATTATTCATATTTTGTTAAAAATAATCTTATAATGTTATTGCTTAAGTAATTCTTGGAATTTATAAACACTGTAAAATATACAGTAAAGAGATAAATCTTTAGTCAAGTGATATATAAAATACAGATTTGTTTGTCTTAGCACTAGGCTAAATTTGTACAGCCAAACAACTTTTTTAGTCCACAAAAACAATAACACCAACATTCATTGAGACTATTTTTCAAAGTTCACCCTAAAATATCTGCCAACTATATAAAATATAAACTTATGATGCTAAAAGTAAATTCAACAAATCTCCTTATCAATTTCTTTAGTGTTAAATATTTTTACAGCATTAAAGTACATTGCAAACTACTGTTTCATTCTTTAAAAGCATTACAAAATAGCTAAAATGTACTGTTTTATCATCTAGTCTATCTTTAAGAGAAAATGAGAGTCTATGAAAAACCTTAAGGGCAAAGGCTAATTTAACATGAAAATACACTCCAGGTAATAAGATCACATATTCCTTTAGTCAATTTTTTTCAGCTTAATAATTGCAGTAATTTTTAAAAATGTTACACATACTTTTAAACTATCTTGAATTTTATACAAATTACTGATTAAGCAGAGCAACAACCAGGCATAATGAACACACAGTGACATCAACTCACCTAAATAGGGAATGCAGGGTGTCATCTTTAAGCTACTTATATAGTCTCTGAGTCTTTTGTAGTTATCTTCTTTACTCATTACATATTCTAATTTTTCAAAGGTAGTTTTGTCTTTTCGACTTAATAACTAAAAAAACAGAAAAGCCTAAGTTATTTCCAAATCCCATTTTATTATAGCAAAGACTTGAAGTTGTGTTATATTTACTGTAAATTTGTCTTTAAATTAAATTTTATTTAATTTCAGAGTTATAGCTTCTTTAATTACATTTTGGTAATACGTGACAAAATCAGACATGTCTATTAAGATAATAAACCCAAATCTATTAACTATAAAATATAGTATCTTGTATGTACATAAAATCATTCAGTTACTTAGTAAATTACAATACATTATTTCTCATCTTTACTATTTTTAATGGTTAAGCAATTTTTGTTGACAAGTTTTTCCTGACAAATCTAAACCATGGCCACAATATTTGTAAACTGATCTACATTTTTGGATTTTCGACATTTTTTCTTTGATCCCTCTGACCAGTTCTATATCACACACAGTTGAACAATCAGCTGAGACTGTTTTAAGAGGCTTGAGGGTAGATCTGTTGTGAGTGTCCTTTAAAAAACATGGAGATAATCAAGGAGAAAAAAAAAGACGAGCAAAGTCAGTCGCCCAAATAATATCAACTAAAAGGTTCAGAAAATATTTTTTAAGTATTCTAAAGACTGAAAAAAAAAAATACTTTGCTCTAAACATATGAAGTTACTATTTCATTACGCTGTAATAATATTTCACTTTATTTATATAATAAAATATTAGTGTTATTTTACAGCATGTAAAACCAATAAAATTCTCATCCAATTCTACAATGAGGTTGACATCAAAATCTGTGTATTAATTTAGAGATGAGGAGACTGAGATTCAAGGTGATGAAAGGGTTAGCAAGGAGCAGAACATACTAACACTCTCAGTCATCAGCTCACAAAGACGTAGGTCCCTGGTTTTTAGGGTCTGGAGCTGGTGCTGGAGATAAAGAGTATCTGACACCTAATACACTTTCTTTCTAGTATTATAAGTACAGGGTTGGGATTGATGCTGAAATCTATTTTTTCATAGACTTCAAGAAAGATGCAGATTACCTTCAGATAAACTATCCGAAAAATGTCTGATCAGTATCCCTCCCTCTTTAAAACACAAGATTTCAAAGAGTCCTTTGCTTTAATGTTTTAGATAGATATTCCATGATCTTAAACAGTGGTTTCACAATCTTTTCCCTGGTCCAGCTTCAATATACTCGATGAGCATTTTCAAGATTAGGTGCAAATTTCTGCTACCTATGCTCATGCCTTAGGTGATCCCATCCAATCCATGCTTTAAATACTGTCTTTATGCTGATGATCACAAAAATATATCTATAGTCCCACTGCTCTCTTAAACTTGTATACCTAACTTAGACCTTACAGTTCCACATGGATATTTATCAGCCAACTCAAACTAGAAATGTGTAAAATGGAACCCACTCCCTGCCCACTGATTCTCTATACCTCCCTGAATATCAGCAAATAGCATCTCCACTATCTGACTCGATGCCGCCTCTCTGCCTCATCTCCTACCATCAACCACTCCCTTGCTTACTCCACTGTCAACACTGACCACCTAGCTATTCTTTGAGTGTTATTAGGGCATTTGTACTGGCTACTGCATCTGCTTGGAATTCTCTTTGCCTGGACATCGCCGTGAGTGGTTCTCTCAGTTTCTCCAGGTCTCTACTCAACTGTCACTTATCAGAGACTCTCTTACAACAACATACTAATGAAATACTTCCTTGCTTTCCCTTCTATCCCATTTACTCTGCTTTATTTTTCTTCAGAGTCTTCACCACTATTTGTGATATATCATTTATTTACACACAGTTTATCTTTTCCCAGTAGAATGTCAGCTATGTAGGATGGGGCTGTCTACATCACTCACTGTCGTATCTCAAGCAATTACACAGTGCCTGGCACAATATGGAATATTTTAAAATTTAATATAAACATCAAACATTTTATTTAGATTAATAATAGAGCTGTTACTAAGTTTAAAAAAATCTTTTCCATGCAAATACATGAAGGAGGCAATGAGGAAAAGGGAAGTTAATTGGAGGGAAACGTAGCTCTTTTCTAAACCACAAAATAAATCAGAGTATAATTCTTTTCCCTAAAACTTCAAAGATGGAATTCATAACTGAGTATTTATAATCATTTCCATTCCTCCATGAAATTCAAATTAAAAAAAGAGAATAAGGACACTATTATTAAAAAATAAACTTTAAAGTAAGAAAACCCTTCACCCAGGAGTTTCTAAAATACAAATAAAATATAAAGAGGAGTGTAAGTTCTTCCACACTAACGTTTTTCCAATATAGAAATCTACCCTGGTTTCCACCAGAAACATGTCTCTGCAGACACTATGAAAAGTGAAAGCAACACTAGGCTAATTAAAAAGTTAGATTTTAGTAATTAAAAAAAAAAAAGCTTTTTAGTCAGTTGTGTCTGTCACAGGACCCTAAGAATACACTAATCCTTTAATAAACAAAATCTGTCTGTCCTTATTAACATTAAAGAACAGTATTAAATATGAACACATTTAATTAAATGTAAAATTTTACTTATATAAATCTAAACCAAAAAATACCTAGAAAGCCTGAGGCCAGTATCATGTGACTCAAAGATGAAATACACAAATTTGCAGAAGTCAAAATTCACATCCTGACCTTGTTAATAAGGTAACAAACTAAATACGATTAGCAAACCAGGACGTGCAGCAACACTGCCTAACCACATGCTCACCCTATTTCCCATCATTCCTAAGGAAAACTCCCCAAAAGCTGACTGAAATAATAGAAATCTAAGTCAGTATAGTGTTTGAATCTTAAAATTTAGATTTTTCTCAAACTTTCCAAAAGCATAATTTTTACATGATAAAATGTAATTTTCTGTATTTACTTCCCATCAGTAAACACGAAAGGCTGTATTGTCTACAACTCTAGATGCTTAAAGTGGTTCTGCAAAAATGATTTCCTAAAGAGCAGAAACCAAGCACCAAGCAGTAATTTACCCCAAAATTACCAGACAAGCCTCCCAAAACACTTGAGAGAAAAAAATGTAGGTTTCAAAGAACAGAGAGTACAAAGTGATTTTAAAATCCTTTCTATTATCATAATAGTAACCTTACTAAGCACTACAAAAGAAGCGAATACACCTTTACCTCCAACAGGAAGCCTAACCTTTCATTAACTTAAGGAGGATTACTCACCGCCCAGGTTTTCGTCAGCCTAAAAATCGGGGCGCTCTGTAAGCCAGAAACCACTGCCATGAGTGCATGGAGGTTATTCAGCTCATACAGTTTCTGAAAATTTAAGAAAAAGGAAGAGATGACAAAGAGCATGAATGCAAAACAGCTTTAGATTAACGACAAGTAAAATTTGGTGGTTTTGAGTGGAATATACAAGTACATAAAAAACTAACAAAAATACCAGAAAACAATAATGCAAATTCATAATATATGGAGAAAAGTCATGCAAGTCTATAAGCTAAAAGCCAATATTTAGCTAACATATCACAAAGAATGATTTTAAAAATTTATGACATTTCTGCAGAATATCAAATTTTAGAAGGCGCATTCTGCCACCTAGTGCCACAGGATGTTACAAGACAATTGCTCCATGTGCTCAAGTAAAATAAGCAAGAGGTAAGGCTCACAAGGACTATAGTTTTACAGTAATTACAATACTTAAAATTGCTAAAATGGTACCATTTTAGTCCAACTTCATTCACAGGCGAGCTAAGTTACAGAATTATTACAAGAATAATGAAGAATGTGGCTACAAATATACCATTTTTTAGTGAACTTATCATAAATTTGGAGTTGTTACAAGTTTTATTGATCTTTTCCTTTTTTCCTTTTTAGAGAGAGGAAGGGGGAGAGAGAAACATCGATCGGTTGCCTCCCGCAAATGCCCCAACTGGGGATCAAACCTGAAATCTGGGTACGTGCCCTGACCAGGAATTGAACCCGCCACCTTTCTGGTGTACAGGATGATGCCCCAACCCACTGAGCCACCAGGCCGGGGCAGGGAGTTGTTACAAGTTTTAATAAAATCTTGATATCCTCTTGTGGAATGTTCGGTTCCACCCTCCTCTCTAAATTCTCCCTGTCCTTTAAATTCATGTTCCATTGCTCTTGCTGCATTTACTACCTATGCCCCACAATAACTACACAATTAACATACTTGGTTAACACCCTCATTTATACGATTCTTTTAAAAATAAAGTCTTATCATTCTCCACATGGTTGGCAGAGTGATCTATTTCTAAAGCAAATAATTGATATTTATTCTCCCACTTAATTCTACAAGACTTTCTCAATCATCTGCAGAATAGTCCAATATTTAAATACAGGACTTCACCATAATCTCTCTACTTATCCAGTCAAATCATATTATTCTGCTACTCTAAGACAGGGAGAAAAGATCTAAAAGGGGAGGAAGATACAGAAATAAAGAAAAAGGCAGAGAAAACAAACATCCAGTTTAAAAAATTCACTTATATGAATCAATATGTCTTACTTTCCAGCATCAGAAGATAGTAAATAAACATTGCAGGCAAATATTCATACATTGCTGAGTGGTTGAACTCAAAAACAGAAATACAAGTTTATCTTACCTTAGCAGTTTTAATATAGTGGCTCAAAACTTCTGCTCTAATTTTTAATGTTTGAGCATGAAGAATCTCTCTAACAACCCAAAAGCTTACCTGCAAATAAAAATTTAAAATAGGTGATTGGCAAGATTCTTTACTCACTATGAGCAAACTAATGACAAGAGCTACTTGAAGACCCACCTAGAGCTGTTTGAAAACAATAGTTTCTCTTTCCCTTGATTCACCACCAGGACATAACTAATCTTCAGATCTTGCACACATCATAAATATAGACAGACAGATACAGGTATGTATATACGTGTATATACGTGTGTGCACACACATAAAAACACTACTACTCTTTTTAATTTGTAAAAGCTAAAATAAATTTTGAAGGAAAAGAGCTGAGAGAATGCAATAAAGCCAGAGTGATGCAACATGAACACCATACAAATACAAGTGGGTTTTGCTGTATTTTGAACACTTTGGTAGAATAGGGTAAGCTCTAATAACAGACTGGAAAATATGCTACATATAGCACGTTTTTCCATGGCTATGTAATCCTACTTTGCCATTTATTTATACTGAGCAGAATCCTAAGTGCTTAAAATCTAGAGTCATATTTGTAATTATTGTAACATAATGTATTTGTACGGCAAAGAAAAAACTTTATCATCACAGATTTTTACTACAGAGATGTACATTGTGATGATAAAGTCTAACCACCTCAGAAAAATTTTGAAACAACTGTATATATATAATTTAAATATGGAATTCAGTACAAGACATGTTTGCCCTATGACCCTATTAATGGTTTAATCTAATTTTTAAAAACTTTAACCCATTTCCATTTGGGGGCATATAGTGAACCAAGCAACCCGAGAAACTACTGGCTAGAAACCCACAGAAATGCTGGGATAAAGATAAACTGTTTTGCTAAAAAATGTATAGCTAACTTGAAAGGAAAATAAAAGATTTCCTTAAAGGCCAAAAACAAAGACAGAAATAGGGCAAAGCAGTGGGTAAAAGAAAGAGAGGATTTCCTCTCAGTGATAGGGACTTGGGATTTAATACTCCCTTAAAAACATAATACAAGGTCTCCCAGCCCAACCCTCCCCACTATTTGTATCTAAGGGAGGAAGGAGAAAAATAAGTCTTCCATAAGAATTTGCAACCTGCCCTTAGTTGGACCTGGAGTTTAAATTTTTACCACAGAGATGTACAGATGTTCCCTAACCAAAACACTTCACGTAAAGAATAGTCCTAGGTCTGCGATAGCCCTTGGTACCAGCAAACAAAGAGCCTCTCAGGAGGGATGGGATATAACCTCAATCTAGGCGGTGGCAAAGTCCGACAGATAAAGCTTAAACAGACTGAGCTCTCAATCTAAAACTACAAAATGCCTAGGAAAACAAACCATCGTGAGTAAGGAACAGCAGAAATAACAGAGATTTAGTACTCCCAAGGACTTTGGATAATAACACAGAAATGATAAAATAAAGTGTTGAAAATGATTTAAGAAATTTAAAAAAATAAGAAAAAAATGACACTAGTGTAAAAGCACAAAGATTTAAAACAAGACACTTCTGAAGAGAATCAGTTAGCTAAATTATAGATCTGAGAACATCACATAGAATGAGCACAAAGGGTTAGGATGCAACATGTGAAAGGTTAAGGCAAGTAGGAAACAATGTCAAGTCCCAACCCGCTTCCAATAGGAATTAGAAAAGAGATTATGCAGAGAGACAGAATTTGAAGAGATATGGGCTGAAAATGTCCCAGAACTGATGTAAAAAGTTTCTTTATGAAAAATTATGTATTAAGGAATTATATTTCAGAAACCAAACATCAAAATTTTGTAAGTAACTCACATGATTGAATCTTCTTGTGAAGGCCACTGCATTTGGTGCAGAACTGTATTTTTCTTTTTTATTCCATCCACAACTTGAGAGCTCCTGGAAAATTAAGTTGAAAATTAAATATAAATTCAAGAACTAGCCAGGTTTTCCTGTCATATTAAGGCTTTCAAAACATTAAAGACAGTTGTGTCCCTTATTCAATAGGAATAGATTTAACATTATAACCCTTCAGTTAAATCACAAAAGCAGATTTTATTAGCAGACTACACAAGGGCAAAATTACTTGTCTATGAGAACACAGATGACTCGAGTTCTGCTCCACAGGCAGACTGATGGCTCCTCCTCTGAAGAGACTTGAATCCTGAGAGAAAAGACCCATCATGAAAGCTGAGTATCCCACAGCCCAAAGTGAAGCCTCCTGGTTGTCAGCCCCAGTCAGTCACTGAGAGCTTCCTATCAGCTTCCAGCACCTCGCTCTGAGCTGACAACCAACAACCCGGACAGCTAATGAAACCTCTGATAAAGGGGTTCTTGATGCTCCACAAGGTGTGTCAACAGAATTCAAAGGGCTGAAGAACTTGGATGTAAAAAAAATAAATTTGTATTTTACATTAACTTCTAACTGAAATGACATTCCTTTTCATTATAAATGCAGACTACAGATTACAAAAGAATTAGCAATAATGTGACTATGTTACTAATAAAAATCATGTATTTTCATATCGCACTACGAGATATCTCAAAACATTTACACGCATCATTATTATGCTCTCACCTCTAGATCTTATTCAATATATTAATAAAAAGCACATATACTGCTATATAACAGTTTAAAAACATTCTGGTAAGTGTATTTTAATAGAACTTATTTCATTTTATAAAAGTGGTCAGCCCTGGCTGGGTGGCTCAGTTAGTTGGAGCATCGTCCCGTATACTCCAAAAGGTTGTGGGTTCAATTCCCAGCCAGGGCACAAACCTAGGTGTGAGTTCGATCCCCGGTCGTGGCACGTTTGGGAGACAAACGATCACTATTTCTCTCTCACACTGATGTTTCTCTCTCTATCTCCCTTCCTCTCTCTCTAAAATCAATAAACATATCCTCAGGTGAGGATTAAAAAACTAAAAAAGTAAACATAAATTAAAAAGGGTTCAGTTCCACAGACTTCAGTTGCCCAAGTCCAAGGTTCAAACTAAGAACCCTGCAGGAACACCGACCACAAGAAAGAGAATCTACAGGAAGAAAAAAAAGAGCTCAGGAAGCTGAGTTAGGGCAGGGAACAAAAGACAACTGAGAAAAGAAAAAGACAAAACCATATAATTATTACTCTCAGATAGGCAAGAGCAAACATTGCTCCTACTGGGCAAAACCAGGAGGATATAAAAAAGAAATACTCAGAGGAAAAAAGAGAGCTTTTGAAAATGAAAAATACATTTTAAAAATATCCAGAATCATGAGATAAAGGTGATAAAATCTTTTAAATGTAGCTAAAAGTAGGAACAAAAATGTTATGTTAATTAGAAGAGTCCATAAGAGTCAACATCTGAATAATAAAAAGAATTTTAAGAGAGAACAGAGGAAATGGAGAAAAGTAATTTACCAAAAATAAAATTTCAAGAAAATGTCCCAGAACTCAAAGGACAAGGAAAGACCTGTCTAGTGCCTATTTCAATGGATTAAAAAAAAAAGACTCAACCAAAAGCCTAGCATCAAAAAATTACAACACACTGAGGCAAAGATCTTTCATATTAAAAAACAAAACAAAAATATATCACATACCGAAAAACAGGAATCAGGTAGTATCGGATATCTCAATAGCAACATTGGAAGTTAAAAGACCACTGAAACAATGCCTTCAAATTCCTAGAATTCTAAATCCAACAAAAATATCCATTAGGTATAAAAGCATATTACAGACATTCTCAGAGAACATTAAAGTCTCAGAGAACTTTCCTTCTATGCACCTATTCTCAGAGAGCTAGCAGAACGTGTTCCATCAAAACATACTAGCAAAGTAAGAAACAGAGAGAGACGGGACCCAGGAAACCAGAAGCCAACATAGAAAAAGCATATTTGGAATTCCCGGGTTAACAGTAAAGGGAGATCCTGGAACAAAGCTATGAGCAGACCTGAACAACAGTCCAGACAGTAAGTACCGAGAGGACAGCAGTCCTGAGACTTGAGTCTCTGGAAGATGAAACAGACTATTCGAAGTGTCTGAACACACTGAGTGGACACATTCAATACATTCACTTCTGGCAGATAAATCAGTGACAAGTACAGAGAAAGAGAAAGCTAATAAAAGTTATTAGCTTAAGGAAAATGGAACTTAAGTAATCATGGCTCAACTGTGAAGACTAACTTAGCTAAGAATAACTTGTTCTTTACAACTGAGCGGTGGTTTACTGATTCAAGTCAAAATTGTGACGTAACTACACGGGAAAAAGAGGAGGCAGTGAACTGTATAAATGTGAAGGGAACAGAATATAAGAGAGGGAAATCATCTTCTACAGTAGAGAGTCGATAAATCATAGCCAAAATTAAAAAATCATAAACAACAGGCATTTAGATTTTTATTCAAATCTTGGACATAAACTCCTCTAAGGAGGAATAGCTAAGAGACTTAGATGGGTGTGGGGCTCAAGGGTGGAGGCTGGGAGCAACTCGGCTTGGGTATTGTTATATTATGTTCTCTTATAGAAATACTTGACTTCTTAAACATGATGCATACATATCTTCAATAAAATTTTTAAATGAAGTAGAAACTAACAAAAAGGAATGGATTATGTCAGGGGAAGACTGAAGAAATAGGATACTACAGTACTCCAAGAAAAATCTAATATTCTCTCGACTAGGGTTGTGTCAGTGGATACTGAGAAAAGTGGTAGATTCAAGATATTTTGGAGGCAGACAGGACTTGGTCAAATGTGGATTCACACAGTGTGAGCTAAGAATGACATATTCAGAAGTACTAAGATTCCCAAGTTTCTGGCTGGAACAACTAAGATGGGAATGCTGAGGGAAGAGATGACATTGCTTCAACACACAGATAAGCAGTAAGTGCTCTGAAGATATCAATAACTAACTTTTTTAAAGCCTAAAATTAAATTATAACTATCAAATTTGAAATTACTGAAGGGAAAAAATAAAACGACAGAAGCAACTCTACATTAAAAAAATTGCTTGGTACTCAACCTAAATATGTGCTCATTTCACATTATCCCCTGGTACAGCCAAAAAATATTTAGTGGTAGATGGTATATTAACATAAAAATGACATTACATGACAACTATATTAAAAAACATCAATCTGCTAGAAAACATTTTTGTTCCTCTTAAAAATCACAGCATATTTAAACAGCTATAGAAAAATGTCACATTTTTGGACAAAATTCCTGAATTAAATTCATAAATACTCAATTTATTTTAAACCAGTTAATAAAATTTCCAAATTTGTATTAACGCTATGATCAAAGTGTCTCTATCAAATTGCTGTTAAACTTAACCATTTCACATAGAATTCAAACTAAATTATAGAGCTTAACACATAAAGCGAATTTCACTTTCCTGCTATGAGGCTATGCTATAAATAATGAATATCCTTGTACCTTTTCCAGCATTTCTGATCATCCCCTAAAAATATAATCCTGAAAGTGAAATCACTAGGTCCAAGAGTATGAATTTTTTCAAGGCTTTGAGATCTGCCATCCTGAAGTACTGAATTATTTATATTACCACTATACAACCGTCTTATCAAAACTGGGTATATTTAATTCCCCTTATATATATTATTACTTTAATTTCCCCAACTGTAAGAATAACTATGTTAAATACATTTGTTAAATAAAGAGAAAATGGGGAGTGGGGGTTGTGAGTCACCTATAAACCCACCACCCAAAGAAAACCTATGTAAACATCTTCCCAGTCTTCTTGAAGTGCCTATGGGGGCCTGGATTTTGTTTGTTTCTTTAAAGTAGCCAATACATCTGACCTTTTCTGTGTTTTAATCTACTGATTTTGTGCTTAAAAAGTCCTCATCCTGAGAACAGATGTCTTAACAGCAGCAATAAAAATAATAGTTAATGCCAATTTAAAGATCACTATGTGCCAGGCTGTCTGTGCTTTAGACGTACCACCTCATTTGACCCTACCTTCATCATTACGATAAGTAAGGAACCCAGACAAAAGTACCGGTGACTTAGGGCTTTATGTTTTACATTAAAATATTCTTTTAAAGCTCTTGTGAATCCTCAAATTTAAAAAAAAAAAAATGCTAAGAGGTTTTGAAAACTCTAATTCTTGGAACATTTCAACATCATTAACTTAATGGAAAAATGCTTTGCCCCTTTAAGAAAATCTCCTTGGAAGTGGGGTGGGGGGAATAAATGAATTGGTAGTCACATTACTTGGGGAAGGGATTGGAATTCAGTTGGAGCCCTCCATTCAAAAGAAATGTATAATCAGAACATATGAAGAAATAGGGCTATTTTTAAAACTACTTAAGATGGTAGTTTCTGCTTCAGAAAATATTTCCCCTTTGAGGCAATGTTATATTACTACTCCATCTAACAACAAACCACCAGAGCTATAAAGGTAGAGAACAGACTGGTGGCTGCCAGGAGTTAAGGATGCTGGGGGGTTGGGGCAGGAGTGGGACAGGTGTAACTTAAAGGGGCAGGTAGCACAAGGGAGATCTTTGTGGTGATGGGATAGTTCTGTATCGTGACTGAGGTGGAGGTTAGACAAATCTACACACACGATAAAATGTCACAGAACTATACACACACGTACTGAACTATACTTCTGTGAGATATAGTCTAGGGAAAACCGGTGAAGGGTAAATGGGATTTCTCTGCACTATTTTTAGCAACTTCCTATGAATCTATAATTACTTCAAAACAAGAAGTTAAACAACAAAACCCATTTAATGGATTATGAAGCTGAAACTGCACGGACTCCAGACTGTAGGATCTTCTTCCAAGTGGCATGCGAATACAATCTAAGAAACAAAGTCTACCAGCATCACCTTGTACCCTGGTAAGAGTTATTCTATTCTATACTAAAGCATCTCTGATGAACACCAACAAGTGAAAGAAAC